GGATGCAATCAGAGACGTGAAAAAGGGCTTGAACATTCCAACTTGCTTCTTTTACTTCTGCCACTGCCATGTGACCTGTCCTGAGCTAGACCGCTGGAGGATGAAAGTCATGTAGAGCAGAGCAGAGGCACCCCAGCACAGATGACCCAACAGCCAGCCTACTCCCAGACACGTAAGCAAGCTCTTCCAAGTTCAGTAGAGCTACCTGACTGATTCACCGCTGTCCACAGTTGCACGAGCAAACCCAGATCAAGTCTAACCCAGATCATCTGAACTGCACTGACTCCTGAGCTAAACAAACATTTTGTGGTCGGTTGTCACATAGCATTTTTGTGGCAAGAGACAACTGATGCAACACCAACTAACATGCAAGTATTGGTCCACCTCAACTGGAAAGAGGTTCCTTGGCAGAAAAGAGAGATGAAAGGGAAAATTCCAGGAACCCCTTCCCACAGAAGAAAAGAGCAATAGAACCCCATGACCAGGCCTTTAATTACCAACTCCAGCTTCATCTCGAACCCCTTCCAGCATTTATCCTTATACTCATTAATACCAAACTCCCTAAATTTCCCTACCAGTATGGGGAGTCACTCTCAAATAACGCTTAAGCTTATCAGGTCCTGGTGTCAGACTGTCTGGGTGCAGCTCACCACTACTCACTTGGTTGTGTGACCCTGGGCAGGTCACCTGATCAGCTCCTTCATGTGTAAAATACTGACAATAACAGTACATATCTCATAGAGTTGTGAGGTTCAAATGAGTTGGTAGATCTAAACTGCTAAGAACAATGTTTGGTACATATAGTATGTACTCAGTAAATGTTAGCTAGAGGTAGTGGTAGTAGCAGCAGCAGTATTCTGACTAATCTGTCTACCCAGAAAGTTCTTTCCACTATTCTTCACCTAGATAATCTCTAGTCCTCCTTGAAGGCTCTTGCCTTCTCCTCCAAGAAGCCTTGCTTGGCCCTAGCACAACCCATCCTTGCACCCTTCCTTTAAACTCACAGAACTCAGGACTTTTACCTTCCCCTGAAGCTTGAGACATGATTTTCAAACGACCTCTATGTAACTGCCTTTCCCTCTAGACTGTAAGCTGCTTAAGGACAGAGTCTATACCTTGCTGTTCACTGAGTAATCCAAATATGAGGCTCAGAGCTACAGGCACTATGCCTCTTAAGACCTAGATAAGCTTGTCTTGAATCCCCATCACTCAACTTGAGGAAAGCTTGGGCAGCTCCTCAAGTTTTCCGACAATTCCCAGGGAACTGACATTGTCATGAACCCTCTGAGCCCCAGCTTCTACCAACTGAATCAGTTCATTTATGCCTGTCCTGCTTGTCGTATGCACTCCCTCACTTCCTTAAAAGTTGATGCAGATCTGGAATTTGACTCATTTTCTTATTTGCAGTACATGAGCTCAAAGGACCCTGACACATGCAGCAGACTCTACAAGAGGTTTGCAGAAATTACAGGAATGAAGATGGTGTTGCATTACAATAGCCCAAGCATGTTAAAATTCTGTGGTAGACAACCCTGGTCTTCAAGAAGTCCCTCAGCTGCTGCTTCCCCTACCAACATCAGCCCTCATGCCTCTCCTCTCTCCTCACCCTCCATACCCAAATTCCTGCTGATTTGTTACCCTGACTGCTTCAGCTCCTGCCTCCTTATCTCTAACCAGAGCCCTTGGGGAGGGCTCACTCACAACCCCAGGTGCTACTCATTAAACTACTTTCCCCAGGAGGAATTCTGGGGCTAGTTTTTAATTTGCCTTTTACACTACTAGCCAGCACAGTCCCCAGCTCATGGTAGCTACCCTACCCTACCATAAGTATCAACTGAAGTCAAATTTTCAGGCGACATCTAGACAGACTCAGGTAAGAATGGACTCAGATAAGACATATGAGAAAGGAAACAAAAGGCCAAACAATAGACTGAGAGTTTTGCTTATGATTCTTATAAACCTTAGTCTTATTAAATTTTTCATCATCAAAAGGGAAAATTCATACCAAGCTACAGGCAATGGAGAGCAGGAGTTAAAAGCAAGGTCTTTGGAGTCTAGATGACCTGGGATCAAATTCTAGTTTTCTAACTAACCATCACCATCACCAAGTAATTAACTTCTCTGAGCTCCAATATCCTTAGCCTTAAAATGCAAATAATGGTACACAGGTCATGGCCTTGTTGGAAAGAGTAAATGAGAAGTATACAAAATGTCCCACACAGTCCTAGCCCATAGTAAGTGCTGCGACAATAGTTTCTCTCATCTAACGAGGAAATGGGTCTTCATATCTAGGAATCCTGGGAAAGAAAGAAACCCAAAAAGATAGAATAGAGGCCCTAAGGTATCTATCTGCTTCTCTCCTATGCATCCAGAATTGTGCTAGTTACGAACCACCCTTGGAAGAAATGAGAAAATCATTGCTCAAATCATTTTCTGTGTTCTGTGGCACGGATGAGGCTCCCAGTTGAGAAAGGCTGGGATAGAGGGAGGCAGGACTAAGGAGCTGGATTCCTAGAAACATGATATGAGAAGGAGGATTTCTTGGATATTTTAGGGGCCTGGGAGGAAAAGAATGATCTAGAACTTTAAATAGTTGAAGACCCCCTGTGATCTCCTCACCTAAGCCTCTCCTATGGCTTCTCTTCTCTCAGAAAAATCACATCAAGATCCCAGCATGAAGGATCTCAGATAAAATGGCAGGTCTCAGATTCATGAAGACTTTCTGACCTTTATTTCAATTATGGTTGTATATCACAGGATTAAATAAGGCACTCATTATGCAACTTTTAACTTGTGCCAGTAACCAAAATCTCTGCTTCCTAGGGAGCTCAATGAGTGCCATATATGACCACATATAAAGCAACCCCATATATAGGGAGAGGCCTTACTATCCCTGACAAAATATCAATAAAAAAGATTTTTGATCAAGCTGAATATACAACCTTTTAGGGTTATACAAGAAATAGTCATATTTCTACTCATAATATTTAGTACAGCAGTTAAGTTATACAAACACATCTAAGACAACCCAGTACATAAAATTATATTAATGTGGAAAATACTGTTTTCACCCACTCTCATGTATATTGTAATAACTTTATTCAAAGTCTTCATGTGCATCTTCAACTTCATTGTCTTTGTCACCATCAGAGCCATTTTTTGAGTCATCTAACTCAGTTTTTCAGAGTGTATCATCTGTACTTCTGCTTCAGGACTATAAGTTGGCCCACAAATCATACTCACATCTCAAATGCAACCCAAAGCAACAATTCCCATTTTCAGAACTCTGGAAAAGTTTGTTTTTATTTGTCTTCTGGTGTATATTTGTGATGCTCAAAGCATAACCACTTTAATTCTCTTGGTTCATGAAAACATCTGTTTAACTTTCACCCATCACTTACGTTTGGGAAGGCAGAACCCAAGAAAATTTATTGAATTTGGGTTAGATTCCTTTGCCTATCATTCTAAACGACTATATCCGGTTGTATAATATTTGGGCATACAGAGTAATACTTTTTATGGAGTCTGTTTCATCTTATGAATAGCACAAATATATTGCAATATATTTTTGGTACTACAAGTTCTAAGTTGTTCAATATTTACAATTAATATAACACATAAATCCTGTATTTTTGCTTTTTAATCTTTGCTTAAACTATGAGGCCCTCACCACTGTAAATAAAACCTGCCTACATCATTCATTCTCCCCAAATACAAAGATCTCCATCCTTCTTGTCTTGCCTTTTTGCTTTCTCATTCACAACTCTGAAATTCATTCATTCGTTCATTCACGGAACTCATCAAGTGTCTTAGCTCATGAACATCAAAAGAAAGGCTGACCTCATGCTGTCACAAGTCCACGGCATGGGACGCAAATTCATTTCATAACACTTGTCATTTTCACTAAACTTATGTTTTTTTCTTGTTCTAATTCAAGTACAGTTCAGTAATTTCTCTTGTTCTCTAAATAGTACTTAAGTCAGGTTCCTTTAACAGTCTCTTGACTTTTCAGATAGCTCTCCTACGTCTTTGATTCCTAGGTCTTTGATTCATATAAACTAGGGAAATAAATTATTGGTAGAAAACATCTTTCAAAACATAGAGTTTTTAAAAAAAAAAACATACAGTTTTGTTGGGCAGCAGAACTGCAGAGAAATAAAACTGTCCCTGAAGGGGAAGAGTTGGGAGCTGCCTGTGGCAGGGATTTCAAAGGAGAAGGGATGCATGCAGTCAAAAGCAACGAAATGGTCAAGAACTCTAGAGGACAAACACTGCCCCTCCCTGTGTGTGTGATTCCAGCTTGGGGAAACAATCCCATTTGCCTGAATTACTAAAACAGGACCCCGTTGGGATGGGGGGAGGGGTCTATCAAAGAGGATTTAGCCCATGTTCTTTTTTTTTTCCACACATACACACTGTAGTTTTACAAGAGATAAACAGACTGACACCAAGCATTGTAAATGGATGACCATAACAAAAGCAACAATGACTGCAATTACCAAACAGGAAGCACTCATACTATGTCATAATATTGACATTCAGTCCAGTATTAGCCCTTTTTTTTTTTTTTTTTGCAGTACGCGGGCCTCTCCCGTTGCGGAGCACAGGCTCCGGACGCACAGGCTCAGCGGCCATGGCTCACAGGCCCAGCCGCTCCGCGGCATGTGGGATCTTCCCGGACCGGGGCACGAACCCGCGTCCCAAACTCCCAACCACTGCGCCACCAGGGAAGCCCTAGCCCATGGTCTTGACAGAAGGGAGATGAAGGCAGGCTGAGGCGGAAGATCAGTTCGGCTCCGACCACACCTGCCTCTGCAGCCCCTCCCCGCCAGGCTGGGAATCTCTGAGCTCACACTTCACCAGCTTTGCAGGGTGCTTTCCTTTCTTTCATTTCTCGACTCCCAGCCTGACATTTCCTAGTACCAATGGGCCACTCTCATCATTCCATTGGAATGAAGGCCATCTTCTGGGTATACTTTTCAAGTAGAATCAATACTCACCTCTCTTTACAAATGGCAAGAGGGGAAGATGATGCAGCCACGGAAAGCCCAAATCTTCTGATAACTGAAAACCAATCACAGTTGGATGAGGCTGTGGTCAGATATGTTCAACAATCAAGCTTCCTGAGGGACTTTCCTCTGTAGGTTTCTAGGCTTTTCAAGATGTTTCTATCATCATCACAACAGGAGAAATGACTCCAGGTAGCCTAAGGAAATCAACATTACGTAGATCAAAATGACTGCATCCCTTCTACCTACCAAAACAGTGCTATTGTATGTTTCCCAGCCAAAATATAGGCTTCAGGAAATATCTCCGTTAGTAACTTCAGTGTGGCTGCAGTAAAGCACTCTAGAATGGCCTGACCTTGCCCATGAAGAAGAAGAAAAAAATTCCCGAAACAACTAGCTTTGCTTCTCCTCCCCCAAAAGAAGGATGAAATAATAATAAATCACACACCTCTCCCCTCTAACATCAAAATCTGTCCCGGGGGGTGTAGAACTGACTCACCTGTGTGACTAGCTGGTCTATAGCTGACGTAACTGCCAAACATAGGGATTTAAACCACAAACCCAAACAGGAAACCACGATTTGAGGAAACCATGGACACATCCCTCTCTGATCCCCTCACCCGGAAGGGGAAACGATCTTCAGACAGTGTCCAGGGCCACTTTTCCTATTCTGCAGCAGTACCAAATTTGACAACTGGTGACCAAGCTTCTTTCGAAAGAGGGGAGAGAGAGGGAGTTCTGCTAACCCCAAAGGCGGATATTGCCATTTGTAGGCAAGGCCTGGTGACGGCAGGAGAGCACATGATTGTTGCCCAGTTTTCTGAACACAATAACCTCAGAATAAGACCTGTGTGTCACCAGGCCTAAAGTTGACTCTTTGCTGGTCCATTAGCTCCTCAAAAGCACGGATATTGTCTGTCTTGTCCACTGCTGGCTCCCAAGCCCCTAGATAGTGCCTGGTACACAATATGCACTCAAAAACTTGTTTGGATAAATGAATAGATGCCTCAAATTTGGCTTCTATTTGGAATTAGTGATTAATCTTAATGAAAGACACCTGAAATATCATTGATCCACAGCAACAAAAGAGCTTCTAGAGGCAAGAACAGATGTATAGGGTGGTCCCTAGGGTGTCGATGACTTCCCTCCTATCAGCATTTCAGAAAAAGCACTGATTTGGGATCAGACCAACCTGGCCTCAAAGCCTGGCCCTACCTCTTTCACTCTGGGTATATCTGGGCAAATTATTCCACTTCCCTGAACTGTGGGTTTCCATCGCTAAAATGGGAACAGTAATATTCACCTCATATGGCCTTTGTGAGATTTAAACAGTCTAGGGTGTGTCAAACGGCTAACACAGTACCTGGCCCATAGCAGGTGTTAAATGTTATATACCTTTGCTGGTGTTATTATTACCACCAAGGTAGAGGAAGGAAGGGCAAACAGTGAGTGACCGCCTAATGTCTATTTTCTCCATTCTTCTCCATTCCTCTCTAGACATCATTACCCTTCTGCCCAAGTTCCTGATGTCAGGGAGGAAGACCAAGCTGGGCACTCAGGATTCTGGAGGCCCACTTACCATAAACTTTCACCTATCCTAGCCAGTGCTGGGCTAGTACATGTTTAATAACTGGTTCTCTAAGGAAGAAAAAGGGCCTTGATTTGTAGCTTTTGCCAATTTCCATGGTGTAAATATTCCCATGGCCAATTTCAAGCTGCCAAGGTGATGATATGGAGCACAGAGTTGGTAAGAGATTAGTAATATCATTATATCATATTTTTACCATTCAGCTACAACAGACGTAAATAACCTCAAGAGTAAAATAATCATAGTAACAGTAAAATGTAGTAAAATAATTAAGAAGTGCTGTCTTGAATATTCCCTTACCTTTGTTTTCATTATAATTCATTTGATTATAAGTTTATATAATTTTCAATAATGGCTGTGTTTCACAACCAGCTTGCAAAATTCCTGAAAATTTAACAAACGGACCAGTGTGAACTGGCTCCAGCACAATGCTGATTCTAGTCTACTTCTGCCCACAGTGTCAGTATCATCAGAATGGAGTTTGGGCAAATGCAGTGGGCCTGGACATTAAAAGACTCCGATGGCCAGTGAGACTTCCGCAGAATTCAAGAAAACTTTCAGGGAGACAAATTCTCCTTTGACCTTCTCTAAAAATCTCTCCAGAAGAAAGCAATCATCCTTTGGGGTCTTTAAATGATCAGATCATTCGGTTTCTTATGTTCAGGGAAGATCCAGCATAAGTCAGCACACTGGAATACCAGAGACTTAATCTATAAAGTTGGCGTGATGGAGTGACATCTGGAGAAAAGAGCATGAGTCATCACCTGCCTCTGGCCACCACATGGCTATGCGTCTTTTGGCAAGTGACTTCATCTCCCATAGCCTCATTTTCATCATCTGCAGAATGGGGACAGCACCTTCCTATAAGTGTGGCTGTGAGGTTTTTGAGATCATGTATTCCAACTGACTCTGTGAACTGCAAAGCATCATAAACACATAAGGCATTGCCTCTATATGAGGAATGAGACAGAGACCTGGAGTGAGAAAGAGCTGGATGGGAAAAGGAGGGAGAAGTTAGCCAATTTAGACAGGGGACTATGGGGAAAAAACAGGAAGAAGAGGTTGGGAGTAGGAGGAAAATAAGGGAAGTAGGGGTGAGAGATGGCAGTAAGCAGTCCGTTGCGTTTGGAGTCATTGCCTCAATGGTTTTCCCACCCTCTAGTCACACTCACTGCAGCAGGTTCTTCCTTATTTCTTAACAGTTCCCATGTTCATCCTAGGACAGGGCTTTTACACCATCCCTAAAATACCAAGAATGGATTCTGGCTTTCTCAGCCTGTACCCTGTGGCCTTCCTGACCCTTCCTTGGGTACGTGTACTCCTTCCTCATCACGTGTACTCCTTCCTCATCGTGTACTCCTTCCTCATCACAGATGGACCCACCTCAGCTACAGCTGGCATTAGAATTATCTGACACCCAGAGCTCTATTTTGACAAAAATCCTCCTTGAGCTCAACCATGTTTCTGTCTCTCTCTGACATGAAGCTAGAAATACTACTGGGTCTCAAAAGAGAAAAAAATGAAAATCAATTTCAATCAAGGCAATGGCTTGCTTTTGTAATGCCTTTGTTAATCAGGCATTTTTGTGCAAGGATTCTTACGAAAGTCTCTTTCAAAAACACTCCATTCCCTGGCCAAGGCGGGGTAGAAATGGGATAGATGGGTTGATGTTCAGTGTTGAGACTTTTCAGCAATGGAACAGGCAGTTCAGGAGGTGAATATCTTCTCATTACAGGAAGGACCAAGAAGAGGTTGGGCAATGTCTTTAGTAATCATGTCGTAGAGAGGTTGAGAGCACTCAACAGGTTGTCTTCTCAAGATTCTTCCAAACTTAGACTCTCCTACAATCGTTCAAATATACCCAGCCTCAGCTCCCATTCTTCGAGTTTCACAACATGGTTTCCCCTCCCTTTAGCAGGGCTGTTATGAAAACTGGAGCACTCCCTCCCCCCAATACACTCAGCCAATGGAACTATGGAGTCTACAAAATGATATTCCTCCTGAGGACACTCATTTCCCAGGTATCTCCAACCTCCAACACTTTATTTTTGTCTTTGAGGCTACCATAGAAACTTGGGTTCAAAAGTATTTAACTTTATTTGACTTTATATATGGGGAATCTGAGGCCCCCATCCCATATCCCTGGCTGCTGCCTCAATCATCTCTCACCTGGACAAGTGCCACAGGCACTGGTGGCCCTCCTGCCAGCCTCTCTCATTCCACCTCATCCTCCACACAGCAGTGGAATGATCGTTTTGAAATGTAAATGTGACCGTGTTCCTCTTCTGCCTACAATTTTTCCATAGCTTATCACTGTCTACAGGTACAAAAGTCCCAGTGAGCCTGGTTTCACTGGATCTTTATGATCTGTGCCCTCCCTTCTTCCCTGCTTTCTTCTCCGTATTACCTATGATGGAGCTGTACCCAATCACAATCGATTGCCCAAAGACACCATGCTACCTCCTGCCTCCAGCTTTATGCAAGTAATTCTCTCCTTTGAGAACAGTGCCACCTGGCCCATCATCACTCCTACTCCACCTGGTAAAGGTCTCTTCTTCCCGTAATGCCTATCTCAAACACCACCTCCTCTTTAATACCTTCCCAGAACCACTTAAGAAGGTTTAATTCCCTCCCGTTTTTCTATTCCCACAGAATCTTATACATCCTTTAGCTCTGCAGTCATCACTCATCTTTGCCTTGCCTGCCTGCATCTCCGGGGGCTGTGAGGGCTGAGACTGAGTTATACTCATCTCTACCCCCCAGAGGGCCTGAAACAACACTTGGCTCTTCTCAAAATGGCTTGTCCAAGGTCATACAACTACAAGAGGTCAAGTGTGAATCAACTCTTGATAACCTCATTTCCTCACTTGCTTTCTCTCGGTCTCTCAGCCCTATATTATTCACCTTTCCTCATTTTTTCTCCCACCCTTTTGTGGATACAAATCTGACCTGAACAACCCGAAGTTTCAACTTTAACTTTTACTGATATGCTTTTCCAAAGCAGCTCAACGAACTTCTGTGCTGCTCTCTCTGCCTCTCCAGCTTCCTCGATGGTTTCTGGATGCAGCTCTGAGCATAACCCATCAGGGAGGCACACAACACTACCCCCAGTACAAACTTCCAGAAAATACCTCAGTCTTTGCCACTTACACATACTTGATCTGATTATAACACACCTGCCATAAACCATCCAGCAACGTCTTCACAATCCACCCTGGTGCACAGCTGGTTGTCCACAAGAGTCCAAAAATAAACATATCTGGAGAGTCTCCTATAGAGAAAGTTTAAAGAAAGGAAAATGATGAAAGCAAAGTATTTTTCCCAAATACTTTCATATCCATTACTGAACTCAATCCTCTTCATATCCACTCATCCCACCCACTTCATTTTACAGACCAATCAGCAATCCAGAGACGTGAGGATGCTTGCCCAATGCCGCACAATTAGTTATAAGCAAAAGTACAGATGTCTTCAGGATCTCTCAGCACCAGTCTTTAAGGTTCTTCTGCATGCTCAAGGAACAGCGGATTCATTCACTCATTCATTCATTCATTCATTTCTTCCTTCCTTTCTTTCTTTCTTTCAACTCCCACCAACATTAGGGCCACTATTCTAGGTACTGGGGACACAGTAGCAACAAAACAAAGTTTCTGCCCTCGTGAAGCTTACATTCTAGTTTCTTATGTAATTCTTTATGGACCCATCTGAATCACAGGAAAGACTTATTTTTCAGAAAAGCCATGAAGAAAAGGAAACAAAGTGAGTTCAGAATTAGAAAACCAAAACAGAATTTGACTCTAACTAACTATTGTGTTGGGCCACACAACATACCTTGATGCTTTGTAAGGCAAGACTCTGGTTCCCAAGGAGAATGTGCCTAACTAGCATAACTAGATGGTTTAGCACAACTTGGGGGAAAAAAAAAAGAGGCAGAATCTGGTTGTAGAACTCCACATGGTAAAAGTCAAGGCACACAACGAAAAAATAACCAAGACTCAGTTTGATTTAGGAATGCACTGAATCTCAGCCCAAAAAGAACCCCTCGAATGCTTTAGTCCCCTTTATCCTCTGGTTTGTTCAGCTCCTGCCAATCACTGAAGCGCACGAGAATTAAGCTAGATTCAGTTCTGACTGGCCACACAGAGTCAGTCTTTGTCAACCAAGAGCTATGGCTGTACCAGGTTATAGAAAATCTTATATGCCAGGTATTCTAAACTACCTGCTGCTGAGTCCCTGTGTGAAACTGGGCAGTCCTTCCCCTTCCCTGGGCCTCAGCTTCTCCTTCTGAGACTAGGTAGGCATCAGTCCAAGTGAGCTCCATGGACTCTGATAAGTTAAATATTCCTGGACCCCATATTCATTTATTCAGTAGGCGTTTGTTAAACTCTGGCTATCACCTGTCCCTGTGCCAAGTGATGAGGACACAGCTGTGGACCAAGGTAGACTTGATCCCAACCTTCAGAAGGTGATTATCACAAATTCCTCTTTGGAGCAAATTTCTCTTTCATCTATTCTGTTTCTTAATGAACTATTTATTAACCACTTCTATATAAGGCATGGCCCTGGTGGACCAGGAAGTCAAAATCGAGTCTGCTATGAGGCCTCTCTTCAAGGAGCTCAGAGTAGCAGGAGAACATCTGTACACATCCAGTTTACCACAACCAAGGTGGAAAGTGTTCAGTGGCTGGAAGAGATATAGAGAAAATGCCGTGAGGTCAGATCAGAGAAGAGCAACTCATGGTCCCACTATGATTTAGCAAACATCTGCTCCGATCAAATACAGCAGTGTCAAGTGCTTTTACAGATGACAGATGTGGACTTTTTGGATCTTAACAACAACCACATTGCTGTCCCTACTTTACTGGTAAGGAAACTGAGGCACAGAGAGGTTCAGTATAACTTGTTTCAGACCAGAGAGATAAGAAGTGCTGGGATTCACACCCAGGTCTGTCTGCCTCCATACCTTGCTTGTGTGCCATGTGAAGTTTCCTCTTTTATCACCAGGCACTTATTAGGGCCTACAGGTTTTGGCACCATAGTGAGCTCTTACAGATAAAGAATGAAGAGAAAATTGGCTTCCAGTCTCATCATTTTGGTCTGAAAAAAAATGTGACTCTGACCCTACCCAACTTTTTCACACTTGCAGGCATGGGTTTGGAGAGAAGAAGTTTGAATCAAATGAAGACAGGTTTGTTCCGAGCAGAGGAACAGGGATCTGACAGGTTAAAGGGCTCAGAGGAAGCTAGGATTCGCAAGGGGGCTCCAGGAGGAGAGAGTATGTTGGGAAATGAGGCTGGCTGGGTGAGCTGGGTGCAGACCATGAACGGTTTTAATTAGATCTCACTGCAATTTGGCTGAAGATTAGTCTGAAGTCCCTGAGGCCATATTGGGCAGGATGGAAGAGGGATGGATATGAGTCTGAATTAGACATTCACCGAAGATAAAGCAAGAATTGACTCCAGTATCCTCAAGGCTTAATAGAGCTCAGGGCTTCCCTGGTGGCGCAGTGGTTGAGAGTCCGCCTGCCAATGCAGGGGACGCGGGTTCGTGACCCGGTCCGGGAAGATCCCACATGCCGCGGAGCGGCTGGGCCCGTGAGCCGTGGCCGCTGAGCCTGCGCGTCCGGAGCCTGTGCTCCGCAACGGGAGAGGCCACAACAGTGAGAGGCCCGCCTACCGCAAAAAAAAAAAAAAAAAAAAAAAATAGAGCTCAGATGGTCCTCAAGGCACCAACAGTAAGAGATCTACTAATTAAGATGAAATTTGCATTTATTTTAGTCTCACAAGGTGAAAAGCATGCCAAGGGGACAGCTTGGGGCATCTGAGATTTTCTGAAGCTCAGGTGTGGCTTTGAGCAGTTAGAAGGGTGAGCATAGCCAAGGGGGCAAGAGCACTGCTTTGGAGTCAGCCAGGCCTGAATGCGAATCTTGACTCTGCCATTTCCTCACTGGTTGACTCTGCAGTTTCCTTCATGTCTCTGTGCCTCAATTCGTTCAGTGGGAATAGGGGGAAATGATACTAACCTCCTTCACATAACTTTTGCAAAATTTAGTGAAATTACGTCTGTAAACTTACTTAGCACTTTGCCCACGCCAAGTTAGCACTTCATAAATCATAACTGACATTAAACTAACATGAGCTAAAGAGAAGACTAACCATCTATCAAGCACTCAGTGGGTACCAGGTGCTATACAGGCATTATTTTATTTAATCCTGCCAGCAATACTTCTAAGGAGACATTATCAATGCAATTTAGCATACGGGAGAGGCCACAACAGTGAAAGGCCCATGTATCGCAAAAAAAAAAAAAATAATAATAATAATAATAAATGTAACGTGACCAGCCCACACGTGCCATTCAAAACTGGTGTTATCCTTGTGATAAATTCACACAGCTATGAAGAGGTGGAGCTGGAATCTGAACCTATGTCCACAGCCCAGGTGCTTTCCTCTAAATCACATGATGGGAAACAACCCCAGTGTGCAGCTCTATATGAAAGGGTAGACTACATGACCTCCAAAGATGGGGAATTTCCCAAAAGGATCTAGCTGTTCCAAAAGTCTTTCTAAACCTAGCCCAGTGTCTCAAATTCCTACTATTAGTTTCATTTCATTAGCTCAAATTTGAGCTTTCATTTCAAAGCTCAATTAAAAGCCAAATGTTTCTGCTGGAGGTAAACACATTATTTCTTGCTAAAGCGTTATGGTCCTATGTTTGCATTAGATGGCTATCACCAAGCAGAAATCAGGATATAGGAAGCATAAAACCAAAGACATGTTAAGTTTCAATGAAATAAAGATTTCCACCAAGAGTTGAACAGACACGGGTAAGCTCCCAGAGTTAGCACAGAGCGGGAGAAGGAAACTTGGGTCATAACTGACACTGACAAGTAAGTTTTAGAGCTCTACTAGTTCTAGAGCAGAGCACCTATGGCTAACAATGCTGTATTGTATACTTAAAATCTGCCAAGAGTATGGATCTTAGTTAAGTGTTCTTACCACCAAAAAATTTAATAATAATAATAAAGGGGGCAGGAGTAAACTTTGGAAGGTGATGGATCTGCCTATGACCTTGAGGGTGGTGATGGTTTCACAGGTGTATACTTTATCCCCAAACCCACTGAGTTATATACACTAAATATGTACACCTTTTTACATGTCATCATACCTTAACAAAGCAGTTTAATAAAAAAAAAAAAAAAAAAAAAAAAAGAGGGCTTCCCTGGTGGGGCAGGGGCGGAGAGTCCGCCTGACGATGGAGGGTTCACGGGTTCGTGCCCCGGTCCGGGAAGATCCCACATGCCGCGAAGCGGCTGGGTCCGTGAGCCATGGCCGTTGAGCCTGTGCGTCCAGAGCCTGTGCTCTGCAAACAGGAGAGGCCCACATACCGCAAAAAAAAAAAAAAAGAAAGAAAGAACGAAACTTGGTCAGTAAGAGGCCTTTACTCGAACTCACTGTGTGACCTCAGCTAAGTCTCATCCCTCTTCTGAGTCTCAGATTCCCCCTCTCTAACAAAGGGCTCAGACCAAACGTTCCTAAGCACTCTCCAGCTCTGGCAGTCTTAGCTGTTGGGGAGGGAGAACAGCCAAAAATGACTGAGTGAGACAGTGCTTCCTGGGAGAGATCTTGAGAAGCTCTAGGAAGAGAGCTGAGTTGGCCTGTGGAAACAGGCCATATTGAGCAAGCAGAGGCCTAAATCTCATCGGCTGATTGGAGCTGCCAGGCCATAGGTCCTCATTCCCAGTTCTGAGCTCATTCCACCTCCCTGATCACTCCTAAGTCCAAAACTGAAATTGGAAGGATCCAAAACATTCTGAACTTGCATTATTCTATTACTTCAGATGAGGAGGCTATAATCCACGGAGATCAAGCTGATTTCCTCAAAGTCAAACATCCTACTTTTGGATTCGTATAGAATTTATGAGAAACATCTTCTGTAAATGGCAAAGTTGGCAATGAACTTTAAATGCAACTCTCATCCAGTGCTCCTTTGCCTCCTTCAGATGGACTCCCGTTCTAATTCCTCTAGTTCCATGATTCTCAACCAGGGCCAATTTTGTCACCATAATGTTGATAAATCCTGCTCTAAAGCATACCAGAAGCTCATCTAGGTTTTCAAGTTACAGCATCCGAAAGACACATTCATAAATTCTCTTACAGCTAAGCTGAAAGTGAATCCTAGGTCATATCGCTCCTGGTTCTTTGACCCTCTCCATCTGACATTTATACCACAAAAAGGAACACAAGTTCCTTGTCAGGTACGAAGATGGTTTCTTATCTATCTTAATGTCAAAGATAAAGGTACCTGAGTCACATTTCCACCAAATAGGATAATCTTCCTGTTGAATTCCTGGAGATTTCAAGATGGAAAGAGGGGTCTCTGAGCTAGTTTCAGGACCAGTTTCTGTTAACTCACTGCCTTGGTTTCCTCCCTCCTCTGACAGCCACTCTTTAACTTATGCAACACTGAGTACCATTCATTTGTGCTACAAACATTTATTATAACAAGGCCTGTGCTGGATACTGGGGATTATAGAAAAAGGCACACTGGCCGCCCAGAAAAACTGCAGTCTAGTGGGGGAGACAGACCTGTCCACAGGTGGTGACAGCACAGTACAGTAACTGCCTTAGTGGGGAAGTCCAAGGAAGTGCTTGACCAGGTTTAGGGAATCAGAGAAGGCTCCCAAGGCGAAGTGAGCTCTAAGCTGAGGCTGGGTGGAGTTATCTAGGCCAGAGCAAAAGGGGCCTGGAAGTGTTCTCTACTAGGCGAAAACATATACAGATGGCTAAAGAGAAGGGAGAGCATGGCCCCTTTGAGAAATTATGAGTGGCTCCACATGGCTGAAACTGAGAAAAAGATGGAGAGAGAGGCCAAAGGTGAGGATGAAGAGAAGATGGAACCAGAATGAGAAGCGCTTCAGTGCCAGTTACGGAACTGGGCTTTATCCTGAGAATAAGGAGGGAGAGACTTGGTCAGACGCACAAGCACAACTGAGAAGGATTATTCTGGCCACATTTTGGGGATGGATTGTGAGGGCAAGTGTGGAGGAAGCGAACTGGCTTGAAAGCACTGTCAGCACCCTGGTGCAAGGTATGGTGACTTGGCTGGCGGGGCGGGAGAAGGGGGTTGTGAGGGGCATAGGCAGAGGCAGAGAGGATGAGAGATGCAGATAAATGCAGGCAGGTCTCAGCAGGTGCGATGGACAGTACCTGGTTACTGCTTGGCTACGGGGAGTGAGGAGCTGGGAGAAGTCAAGAATGACTCCCAGAGTCCTCTCTTAGGTGACTGGGGTCACTGAGGAAGGGGACACAATGGAGAAGTAGATTAGGGACAGCATGACTATTTCAGTTCTGGTTGTACTGAGTATAGATTTTCTGAAGACCACTGTCTACGTTGGTCTGGAGCTCAGAAGAAAGGTGTAGACACCCAAATGAGGGTGGGACCAGTAATGAGGTGATACACTATGGCATGAGGTTTTCATCCACCCCAGGACTGCTGACAGCACACCCAGGGCTGCAGGGAAGGAATGAAAGAAATGTCAACAGTGTTCTCCATCACTGTCGAGCATATCATTTAGCTGGAGAAGGACCTGGAGTGCCAGGTGTCTCTCTCCTCCAGCAACCTACGAGGCTGGTATTACCCTCGATTTAACAATGGAAGAAATGGAGCTCATTGAGGAGATGATGATGAGCTCATCAGCTTGGAGCTGATATTCTAAATGAGGTCTGTCTGTTTCCAAATTCTGTGTTCTTACTAAATAAACCCTATTGCCGTACTTTTCAAAAGACTGCCCCTGTGTTTCTAAACATTTAAAGTGGTGAAGCATTACAGGTGCTGATGTTGGGAAAACATGGGTTCAAATCCCAGTTTTATCATTTATTAGTAGCTCAACACCCTCATTTGCTAAGCAGAAGCTATCAATACCTACTGCACAAGATATTGTGAGGACTGGATAAGATTCCAGCATGGAAGTCTCAGCACTGTGGCGAGCATAAAGCAGTGCTCGATGAAGGTGGCCAGCATGATCACATTTAAGTACTCTTGAGTCAGTGGTGAACGACTGGGACAACTGTGCTGCCCCCACCCCTCAGGACGTTTGGCCATGTCTGGGGGCATTTTTGGTTGTCACAACTTGGGGGAGAGATGTTGCTGGCATTTGCGGGTGGAGGCCAGCGCTGCTGCTGAACATTCTACACTACACAGGACAACAAAGAATCATCTGCCCAGTAACGTCAGTACCGCCAAGGTTGAGAAATCCTGCTTTAATTTAATGCAAAATATCTAAACTGGGGTGAAATGAAATACGTTAGATTAGAGATGACCTAATTTAACCTATTCATTGCACAAAAAGAGAAAAGGGAAAGCAACTCATGTCCCAAGGAGGGATTACATGGAGAGGAAGAGGATTCTGCAGATTAAGAGCTGGACTTCTGGAAGCTTTCCGTGAGGATGTTTCTATGCCCTTCCCGCTCCCCATTTGGGGCACTTCTTTTCCGACCTCTTTGAAGAGGGGAAAGGAAGGTCCAAGAGGCCCAGGGTGAGGCCATCCTGACTCAGTCCTTCTGGTGGCCACACTCCAATCCAGCAGTGTCCTACCCAATTAAGGGAAGCAATCACGAATACATGTTGCATAATGTGCCCAGCACTTTATGAGTAATGTATCATTTACTTTTTATGACACGTGGTTCTATTGTTGTCATCCCACTGTGGCTAATGAAGACACTGGGGCTTAAGGAGGCAACGTGGTTTGCCCAAGATTACACAACTGAGAGATGCAGGAGGGACTGGAAGCCAGGCGGTGGGGCCCCTAGGTTCACGCTGACCCACTTCTCAAAGCTCACCAGAGAGACCCTGGCCTGGGCCTCCAAACCCAACATTTTTTCCATGCTTACAGGGAGCAGAGCTAGCTTCTTCCGAACACACGGTTTGGGTGTCACTAAAATTCCACTCAGCCAAAGTCATCAGAAAGCACATTTCACTGATTAGCCTACTCTTTTGGTACACAGACGAGAACTGTGAAGCTGGGTGGGTTCTCAGCCCACTTTTTTTTCAGAGATCAGAAACGGCGAGTTTGTGACTGGTCTCCTGACTCCTTGACTGTTTCATATTTGGAAACAGAAAAGCAAAAGGAAAAACACCAACTCTGAATGCTGCTTTCTCAGGAGCGGACAGAGACTTAACCTCAGGACAGCTTCCTTCTGAGACAAAGACATTTGCATGCAGTGATTCCCCAAAAGACTTTGGAGAAAAGGTTTCCTCGTCTCCCTCTGCCAGCTGAAGCAAATGGGAGTCTGGATTGTTAAAACAGCAACTCAAAAGGGGTAAGTAAAACCGCAGAATGAAAAACAAAAGCTATTTGCAGATCCCAAGCCCAAACAACACTTTCAATTCTGAAAATTTTCAAGCTAGGGCCCAAAGCTCCACTTTCCTTTTTAAAGAAGGAAAGGGATACTTACTCTTTCCCTAATTTCCCTTTAACAGCAGCCATCTTCCAGCAAGAATGCTTTTGAGTTACTCATTTACCCTATAGCTCACCTCATCCCCAAAAGGTATTTTGGTATTTTGAGGCAACAAACAAAAGTACATGCAATGTTAGGGGGCGGGGATGGAAAAAAATCGAAGTCATGGGCAAATAAGTGTCAAATCGGAAGATGAGCCAGGGAACGTGAGTAAACAGCAATGAACAGCTGTTATGATGAGCTTCCTTGTAGCCAACTCAAGGAGGAAAATCAATCTATTACTGGGCTCACAATGCCCCTAAGAAAAAAACATATTAGTTGTTCGGGAGAAAAACAGGTTTTCCTTGACATGATGCGAAAAACACACTTTTATTGTTTAAGACACTAAGACTCAGGGAGGTTGTCTACTGCAGCAACTAGCACTAATACCTGACAATTCCCCACCCCACCCCAACTTTGCAGGCACTCAGTTAAGTGTTGAAGGAAGGAATGTGCACCAACTCCACTTCAGGCTTTCTTATTTGCAGGTGAAGCTCACTAATCTTGCTATTAGGTCAGGATGCTACAACTTTTATTCCCTAGACCAAAGTGTATTCCCTAGACCTAATATTGACATTTCAGACTGGACAATTCTTTGTTTGGGGGTGGGGGGGGGCCTGTCCTGTGCATTGTAGGATGTTTAGCAGCATCCCTGGCCTCTATTAAAGAAATGCCAGTAGCATCCCTCCCCCAGTGTGACAATCAACAATGCCCAGGTACTGCCAAATGTTGCCCAGTTTAGAATCACTACCTTACACGTAAGATCTAAAAGGACAAATTATATATCCCTCTCTCCCAGCCATCCCTCTCCCCCAACATACACACCACTTATCCAAAATACAGTGGGCTAAAAGGGGCAGGATAATCACAATCAACATACCTGCTATAGAGCACAGGGAGCTCAGCTCGGTGCTCTGTGACAACTTAGATGGGTGGGATGGGGGTGGGGTGGGAGGGAGGTCCAAGAGGGAGGGGATATATGTATACACATAGCTGATTCACTTCACTGTACAGCAGAAACTAACACACCATTGTAAAGCAACTATACTCCAATAAAAAATAAAATAAAGTAAAATAAATTTTTTTTGAAAAAACATACCTGCTTGGAAAGAATGGGAAACATACAAGAGTCACAGATCCGGAGCAGTTCTGAAATCCTGCTGGGCAGACTTCAGGAAGCCTCCTGCTCTGGGTAAGGGGGAATAAATTTCCTCTCAGAGCAACCAATGCTTATCCACTGTTCTCATGACCCCAGGGTCCCCCTTTTAGGAGCCATGACCTGCCTTAGACACTTATGAAGTAAGTATTAGGGATTTATGCCCTCCTGGGTGTTGTATCTTTTTCTTAGTCTACTTTCTGTTCGTGGAAGGTTGGCATCCCAAGGGTTGTTTTAAGCCTCAAAGATTTTCTAGACCAGGCTCACGGTTTCTTTGGCATTGCATTTCACCCAGTAATGTAATAGGTTTCTGATCTATTTCCACTGACCACAACCAAAGTTCTTTTTAAGATATAGTTCTCAAATCTGTCCTTTTCCTTGCTTTCTCATGCCTTGCTTCTCTCTCTCTTAAGCCAATGGCAGCTATCTTGAGACTATACGGAAAAATCAATGAGAAGTCTGCTCTTTTCACTTGATCTATGCCCTGCATCATTTTTCCAACTGACAGGTTTTGCTGGGCCTTTGCCATTTAAATCCTTATTGAATCCCATCTCTTATTGTGTGATGTATAAAGCAGTATGCTATTCCACCCTCAAGGCCTCACATTTCTGGACTCTCTCTCCTTAATTTCTGCTTGCAATCCACCTTAGAATTTTCTGAGCTCATCCCATACTTATAAATACCTTGCCAAATGCAGCCACGCTACCATCATTCTATTTTCCTACACCTTCCCTGGAATGACAAGTACAGTAAGTGCAAGCTCTGCATTTTCAAGTCACCACAAGCAACAACGTTACAAATACCTTGTCACTGAATACTCTTACCTCCATCTTTCCAGTCTCCAATTCACTTCCCCATTACCTGTCCCCGATCACTAAGATATCATATATTTTATGTTTTTGTTATGGAGCACTCCACTTCTTACCAATTTCTGCATTAAAATAATTAACAGTAGCTGTCAAAACAGATAAATCCTAAAATTTCAGTGGATTAAAACAATAAAGGTTTATTTCTCATTCATTCAAAGCCCAAAGAAGATAAGATGCCCTTTTCCATCTTGGAGCTACAGAAGAGCCAATTGCTTCTAGACCCCAAGTGATGAGATTTTTAAAAGGCACTGAATGGTAAAGCCCAGTAGAACTTAGGTAGAACGATCAGATTAAAGGTGCGCTTCCTCTGGCGGTCGGCACACGGCAGCGCCTGGCTTGGGGCCGGGGACGACCCGGAGGGCGTCCGCGTGCTGCGTCACATCGCGGACGGAAGGCAACGCGCATGCTCCGCTGTCCCGTGCGCCCAGCCTCCTCTCCTAGGTGGACTCCCAGGAGCTCAGAGAGAGGCTGCTTGACCAGCCTGGGTCCTGGAATGAATATGAATTGGAGCCGTTGTTCTGGCCCACAGTGAACACAGAGCATGAGCAAATGACAAAGATTCTCTCCTCGGCCAACTCTGTTCAGGCTCTAGGGAACTGTCTTCCCAAGTAGACTCTGACTTTCGAGCTTCAGTGCTCATCTTTGCATTGTCCAGTTTTAGCAAGAATCCTGCCAAGTCAGTTTAGCCAGAATCCTCCATCCTGCATATCTGATGGCTCTCAATATTTATTCAGGTCTTCATCCTCCACCCCCCACCCAGGTGACGGTGTGGTCACCCTGGCCCGCCTTCAGTGAGAATCCTGTTAGGTCCTGTCAGCCAGAATCCCCCTTACTCCTGATATTTCTCCTTAGCAACTTTCCATCCACTGATCCCCACCCTGCTCCTTGGCTATAAATTCCCACTTGCCCATATGCTATATTTGGAGTTGGGTCCAGTCTCTGCAAGGCTTTGTTGTGGTGGCCCCTACATCCATCGAAATACCACCACCCTCCTTGAATAAAGTCTCCTTACTATTCTTTAACAAGGGTCATGAATAATTTTTTTTTCTTTAACAGTTAGAAGATTATTTTTTCTTTACTATAAGAAATAACTATTTGTTCCTGAGAACGCCGGAGATCTTGGGATTGTTTGTTACTACAGCATAACTTAGCCTGTCCTAACCGGTAACACCAGTGAAGGAACCAAAGATCATGGTCCTGAAGAAGAGAGACCATGTGGGAACACAGTCATTGTCATCAACAACCTGAAGAGCCAAGTGGAAAAGCAGCACCAGATTTGCTCACGTGATGCTCCCAAACTGAAAGTCGCGGGGAGGTGGCTCAGCCTAAAGAATAATATTCTGAGAGTTAGTACTAAGTGGTTGGTCTTTGCAGTTCACTGGAGGGCTGTAAGCAGAGGTGTGAGATGGGACGATAGGAGACAGCACTGAGGCCTCTTCCGGGACTGGGATGCTGTGGTTACAGGGGAAGTCTATATTGTAGGTGGCCTTTTACCCCAGCATTTCCACCTGTCAGTGAGGAAAGCACAGAGACTTAGGACTATCCAGCACCTCAGGTAAGCCAAAGAACCCTTCCTCCCAGGAAGCCCAAAGGGCCAGGATGCAGTCCTTCTCAAGAAGTTTATATGTTTTTTTCCATTAAACACAGCTATCCATTGGGTAGCTTCCCCTTTCTCTCTTTGTCTCTGTCCCTATCTCTCTGCTTCTCTGATTCTCTCTCTCTCACTGCCCTGGTTTCTATGTGCATCTGGATCTCCAGGGTGTTGTCTCTGTGTCTTTGTGTTTTCCTTTTACCTTTGTATGTTTCTGCCTCCACCTCAGTCTGTCTCTCTATTCCCGTGAATCTTTTCTCCTCTCTCCCAATCTTCACTCTATCTCTCCCCCACATACACTGTCTCCATCAATATACCACTCAGACGTTTTCTGACGGCCCCTTGAAATTAGTCCTTGGGCTTCTCTCCCACCAGAACTGGAACTAAAACCATTTACTTGTTCAGTCACATCTTCTGCCTCTGATTCTCTTTTTTCACTTCCTTTTCATCCCTAGATTGTAGCTCCTCCCCCAAACAGACATTACTCATCTCCAGCCCCAAAGGCTGAAAACCTGTGCTCAACCTCTCCCTTCTAAATTCCAGAATCATCTCTGGCCCTGGTTCCAGGGCAGTGCCTTGCCCTCCTTCCCTGCCCAAGCTCTCTGTCCAGTTCCAGAAACATTCCCCAGAAAGCCCATGACAAGGGTGTGGCCACTGCGGACTTTTTCGGGGATGAAGGGTGAAGGTTTACAGACTATACATAGAATGTCCCTGACCACGGACACCCACCCCGGCCTCAGGAGCGGCCCAGCCCTCTGCTGCAGCCTCACTCCTGCCCCTCCTCCACACAGTCCTCTGGATGTGTCTAATGGCTCCTGCCTCATGCCTTGGTGCTCACCCTGACCTCCACTGGCCACACCCTCCACACGTGGCAGTGTGACAGGATGGCAGAGGGAGCAGAGCACACGCTAGGAACTTGGGGGTGTGGGTTCAACTTCAACTCCAGCTTTACTACTCACTTTTGGGGTAATTCTGAGCAAGCTGCATCACCCCTCTACTGTCTCTTTCCTACTTTTAAAAATTGGAGTCATAGTGCCTACCTGCCAAAGTTGTGTGAGAATCAAATAAGATCATGTATAGGAAGTTCCTGATGCAGAGCTGGAACAAAGATGCTGATGGGGAAACATTTATTCCTGTTCTACCTCTTCACCACCCAAACCCCAGGCCCCTCCTCGTCTCCCTGGCTGACCTGCAGCTGGTAGACCCCGGGACAGCAGTATTATTGATATTTGCCACCAAATATGATGGATCAGCAGGCACGCAGTTCCAGTTGTTATTTACTTTGAATATCCCCACCCCACGATCACCACCACTCCTCCCCATTTTCCCCTTCCATCTCCATCCATGAAATCCACTTCAAAGGCCAAACCAAACCACCCCCCACTTATCTCTGAGCTTCCCTGGACTCCTCCAAACAGTGACAATCTGTCCGCACTTTGAGGTCCCAGTCACTGGGCGCTGATGGCAAGGTGAAATGCATGATGCTCCCTCAACATTCATGTAGCATCTACACTCTGTCCTGAACTTGGGAGACTTGGCAAGGAAAAACGCATAGTCTCTACCCTTAAGCCGTTCACAGGCTAGTGGGCGGGAGAGCTGTGTAAATGCACCATGACAATGCAGTGTGGTAAGACTTCAGTAACTGAGGTGTGGGCTAGACATACTGAGAGGAGGGAGCTCTAACTTTGCCTGGGGCTACCACTGTGAATGCAGCTGCATAGCTGAGCCCTCTGCTCCTCTATTGCAAGATCCACTTGATGCAATGCTGCACTAAGAGCCAATGCTGTCCGTGTTGAGAGAGAATAAGACAAGGGCAAAATAATAATGGTGTTCAGCCTCAGATCTGGGTCACATCTGTGTATCCAGTTTCTGGTTGAGTTTGGGCCACAGAGTAGGTATCCGAGGAATCAGAGAATGCCCACAGCCACAGCCAGGCCTCACAACTTAGCAACATTATTGATTGAATACTATAAAAGCCAGAGAAGGAAGAAAGAGTTCAAGGGAAGAGTCTAGTTGTTTGGCCAAGACAACTCAGTGTCCATCTTGCCTGCTCCAAATTTGCTCCAACCCTCTCTTCACCCAAGCACTCTCCTCCCAACCAGAACATGTCATCTGTCCAGAGACAGCTCTCCACCATTTTCTTACCATAATCAAGTGGTCAACAAATACACAATCATAACTCCTGGCCCTTTTAAAGGAATGTTGATTTAAGGAAAGACTTAACAATGGGACCAGGTTCAACAAGACTTCATTTATCTAGCAACATCAGCTGCTGGACCAGAATCAAGAATTAAGAAGAAATAAAAACATTCCTCTGTGAGGCCAGAACAGATACCCTGAAATCTATGTACTAACACCCATCCACGTGATTCGTTGGAAAGTCTATTAGGACCAGACGCAGCACCCACTGATTCTTATTTCTTGTCTATTTCTGGATCTCAAAAAGACAGAATTGGAACTGTCATAATCCCTGGATCATGTCACACACATCATGGTCCATGCTTGGACTGCCTTGTAATTAATTAATTAGTTATAACGTTGTAAATACCAATTAACCAATGATGTAAAATGAAAGCCAGGACCTTGAGGGGATCATATGACACTACATGAAACCTCTTGCAGCCACCCATTAACTGCCCCAGCTCAGGTATCCATCATCCTGGGTCCTGTGTTCATCATTGCTTTATTCTCCCTTTTAATTAGTTGTATCGTATGTATTTCTGTGTGTGTACAGGCACATGCATTGTTTTTAACTTTATATAATCTTGCTGGATATAACCTCTTTATATAACCTTGCTGTATATAACCTTTCACTTTATATCATTTTGCTAAGATTCATCCATATTGAGGCATGTTGCGTTGTTCCTCCATTTGGAAGGCTGTATAATGCCCCACTGGGTGGCTTTGCCATACTTTATTCACCACCTTTCCTGGTGACACCCAGGTTTTTTCTACCGTGGTGACTGTTATGACAAAGGTCATTGTACGTACCTCCTGTTGAATGTGTGCAAGAGTTTCTCTCGAGCAGGTGCCTAGGAGTGGACCAGTTGGCTCTAACCTGCTTGAGAATTTTGATAAGTCTAAAGGGCATAAAGGTGTAAATGTAAGACTGGAAACCATACAACTCCTAGAGGAAAACACAGGCAGAACACTCTGTGACATAAAATAGTATCAATATTTTTTTGGATCTGTCTCCTAAAGCAAAGACAATAAAAGCAAAAATAAACAGATGGGACCCAATTAGACTTAAATCTTTTGCACAGCAAAGGAAACCATTGACTAAATGAAAGACAGTCTACTGAATGGGAGAAAATATCTGCAAATGATATGACCAATAAACGGTTAACATCCAAAATATATAAATAGCTCATACAACTCAACATCAAAAAAACAAACAACCCAATTTAAAAATGGGCCAGGGGCTTCCCTGGTGGCGCAGTGGTTGAGAGTCCGCCTGCCGATGCAGGGGACACGGGTTCGTGCCCTGGACCAGGAGGATCCCACGTGCCGCAGAGCGGCTGGGCCCGTGAGCCATGCCCGCTGGGCCTGAGCGTCCGGAGCCTGTGCTCCTTAACGGAAGAGGCCACAGCAGTGAGAGGCCCGTGTACCACAAAAAAAAAATTAAAAATTAAAAAAAAATTTAAAAAAAAAATTAAAATGGGCGGAAGGGACTTCCCTGGTGGTCCAGTGGTAAAGAATCCGCCTTCCAATGCAGGGGACACGGGTTCGATCCCTGATCTTAGAACTAAGATCCCACATGCTGTGGGGCAACTAAGCCCACAAGCCATGACTACTGAGCTCATGCGCCTCAATGAGAGAGAGAAAACTCGCACGCCACAACTAGAGAGAAGCCCGTGTGCTGCAAAGAAAGAGCCCACGTGCTGCAACTAAGACCCAACACAGACAAGAAAATTAATTAATTAATTAAATATATTTTTTTAAATGGGCAGAAGACCTGAATAGACATTTCTCCAAAGAGGACATGCAGATGGCCAACAGGCACATGAAAAGATGTTCAACATCACTAATCATCAGGAAAATGCACATCAAAACCACAATGAGATATCACCTCACACCTGTCATAAAGGCTATCATCAAAAAGAACACAAATAACAAATGTTGGCGAGGATTTAGAGAAAAGGGAGCCCTCGTACAGCGTTGGTGGAATGTAAATTGGTACAGCCACTGTGGAAAACAGTATGGAGGGCTCGCAAAAACCTAAAAATACAACTACCATATGACCCATGTGATACATACTCCTGGGTATATATCTGAAAAAAACAAAAACACTAATTTGAAAAGATACACACACCCCAATGTTCAGAGCAGCATTATTTACAATTGCCAAGATATGAAAGCAACCAAAGAGTACATCAACAGATGAATGGATAAAGAAGATGTGGTGTGTGTGTGTATATATATATATATATATATATATACACATACATATATATACACACACACACACACACACACACACACATACATACACACACACACACACACAATGGAATAGTACTCAGCCAAAAAAAATTTTAAAGAATGAAATTTTGCCACTTGTAACAACATGGATGGGCTTGGAGGGTATTATACTAAGTGAAATAAGTAAGACAGAAAGACAAGTACTGCGTGATATCACTTATATGTGGATCTTAAAAATACAACAAACTAGTGAACATAACAGAAAAGAAACAGACTCACAGATAGAGAGAACAAACTCGTGGCTACCAGCAGGGAAAGGGAAAAGGGGAGGAGCAATATAGGGATGGGAAATTAAAAGCTACAAACTTATGTATAAAATAAACTACAAAGATACACTGTACAACACAGGGAAGATAGCCAACATCCTATAATGACTATAAACCTTTAAAAATTGTGAATCACTATATTGTACACTGTAACTTATATAATATGGTACATCGACTCTACTTCAATATAAATAAATAAATATTTTTTTTAAAAAAAGAAAAATTATTTCATCAAATAACTCATTTCCCAACAGAACTGGAAAGGGGAGGCCCTGCAACAAGAACACCATTCCAGGAAGGTGAAGCTGTGCCCTGGATTAGCGATCTCCCAGGAAGACTGCGGATGCTGCACAAGTCAAAACACACTTAGAGGTCAAGAAGTAATTCCTGAAAAATGACTTTTTCCCAATTTGGGAAGCAACAGGGGAACCTCGGCCTCCCTTTCCCAGCTGCCCATGCTAATCCCTCATTGCACATCGTGGGGAAATTGCCATGGTACAGTATGGACAAGGGTTACTTAGCAGACAAGGATGTGTAGAGATGGTGTGGGGGGGGAAACCA